AAGGGTTGCTCCAGCACAAGTAAAATCACAATTTTACCTCAGTTTTTGACGATCGACCCGCATTTCGTGCGAAAGGGTTGCTCCGGGACAAGTCAAATCGCAATTTTTCCTCAGTTTTTGACGATCGACCCTCATTTCGTGCGGAAAGGTTGCTCCAGGACAAGTCAAATCGCAATTTTTCCTCAGTTTTTGCCGATCGACCCTCATTTCGTGCGAAAGGGTTCACGTTTCGTGACTCCCCGCCGGCACCACCCTCGGCCTAAAGAGAGAAAAATAAAGAAGGCGAGAGAGAGAAAAGGGAGAGAGAAAAGAGAGAAGATGTGAAGATGAGAAGGTGTGAGAGAAGGTGTGAAGAGGAGCAGATGTGAGAGAAGATGTGAAGATGAGCAGATGTGAGAGAAGATGAGCAGATGTGAAGATGTGAAGATGAGCAGATGTGAAGATGAGCAGATGTGAAGATGAACAGATGTGAAGATGAGCAGATGTGAAGATGAGCAGATGTGAAGATGAGCAGATGTGAAGATGAGCAGATGTGAGAGAAGATCTGAAGATGAGCAGATGTGAAGATGAGCAGATGTGAGAGAAGATGTGAAGATGATCAGATGTGAAGATGAGCAGATGTGAAGATGAGCAGATGTGAGAGAAGATCTGAAGATGAGCAGATGTGAAGATGAGAAGATGTGAAGATGAGCAGATGAGAAGATGAGCAGATGTGAAGATGAGAAGGTGTGAAGATGAGAAGGTGTGACAGAAGGTGTGAAGATGAGAAGGTGTGAAGATGAGAAGGTGTGAAGATGAGAAGATGTGAAGATGAGAAGGTGAGATACAGACCCCCACTATTGGAAGAACCCTGCGCTCAGACGCTCTCGGCAAAAATGTATCGAAATCACATAGTTGCCTTTATTTTAATTTCGAACATGCTCAACAGTCGGGGTTGTGCGGGCATTGCGTTTTATGTGTGGGAGTTTTGAAAGGTTCATGCAGTTCCCCGCTCGACATGTGGTGTTTGTGGCGGTATCCATGCTTGGAATGGTTACCTTCCAGCAGGTGTTGCGACGTGGGATTTTGTTGGATGTGGAAATGCGTGTCAGAAACAGTTGATATTGCTTTATCCCGGCAAAACATCCCAAACAGTGTTGGGGAGGGCATCAGCTGACGAAAGCTTTGCCCAGAACCTCGGTGATCATACCAGGACCTCAGTAACGCTTTCTTTCTAGAGGATCATACTAGATCGTGCTCCAAGAACCTCTTCAGAACATCCCACCTACAAGCACCACCAATACAAGGCATTTTCAGGACCTTCATGCAAGGACCTTTTGGAGGACCGCACCACGATCTCCACAAGATCTTCTCACAAGGATCTCTGCAAGATCTTGGTCCAGGTCTTCATAGAGTCATAGAGGGACCTTCCAAAGAGAGGAACCTACCAGATCTTCTTACAAGTAGCTTTTGTATGAGCGCCCAGGAAAATCTTTCAGACCAACAGCCCCGATAATGATAGGTAATGATACAGGCACGACGCAGGGATGTTTGAGGATTTTGCAAATATCCCCACAAGATCTTCCCACAAGGACCTCCACAAGATCTTGGTCGGGATCTTTATACAATGACCTCTAAAGGTGCGTTATGAGCCTCTCGCAAGATCAACGTAGACGGATTCTCTACAGAACTGAAAAGTCTTCGTCGCCAGGATCTTTCAAAACCAGTTAGTATGAGCACACTGCCGCAATGAGAGCGACGCAGCACACACACACATACAAAACAAGGAGAGGGTTGCGTGAGGTGGCAACAGGGTTGCGGAGGGATATCAAAATTGTGGCCATGCCCCAACGAGAACGATCCAACATGCATGAGGAAACATGTTTGATTTCTCTATTACTGTGCGTGCCACGAAACATGAAAATAGAAAACGTGAAAAATGATGTTTTACCTATAAGTTTCAGTTTCTGAGTTTCTCTTTTGTCGAGGCCTCCAAAGTACTGCGCCTGCCACGAAAAATGAACTTGATGCATAAACAGTCTTGCGGGTGCCTGCCCGCCAAATGACAACCAAGTGCCAGAAAAAGAGGACAGTCTCAGAAATGGATTGTTTTTAAAACATTGTTCAAATTCGTAAAATTTTGATAAAAATGATTTCAGATACCACCGCGCATTTCGGCTTTAGCAAGGTGCAGGAAGTGTTGCGCCTGGCACGCAGATGAAAAATGTTTGGTGTCGCGCGCCTGCCATTCAAAAGGGGTTTTTGACTTTCGAAACGTGACGAATCTCTTGTGCTTGCTTCGAAAGACGCGCGTAGCTCCAAAAACGGACACGGCACGCAGGCGAGAACGCACCTTTGCAAGACGCCACCATTTCATGCGAGACTTCCTTCGGAAACGGAAAGTGGAGGGACCTTTGTGCTGTAACGGCCCCCGGAAAAAGAGAGCACGTATGCGACCACCTTGGATCCATACCAGGCCAAAACATGTAATTCTATACGCTTGCACTTACCGTGAGAACCCAGAGTGTGAACACTCTTTGGTGAAAATGTGTCGTGTTCCAACGCGCAACTCGGGCGCACGTGGTTTTGATTCCTGGAGCTGGAACATAAAAATGAGCAGGGTTGCTAGGCGCAAAACTGCCTGCAAGAAGGTTCCCAGATTGGTTCAATGTGCGATGTTCCACGACTCATTCATTTAAGACAATTAGGTGTGTATGTATATTATTATATTATCATTACTATAACTTTTGTGATTGTGCATGTTCTGCTTATTATTTTGGTTAGTCAATAGTACCCGACGCGTGTCCACAATTTATGTTGGTACCTTGTTTATTTAAGTATGCCGTTAAATTTTTTTCTCGCAAATGTTTTGAACATTTCTCATGTGTTTTCTGAAACCATTGAACCACAAAATCCAAGTTTCTGAACTTTTGACAGCCAGACAAAGCCGTTGTTTAACATCGTTTCTTGACATTGCACAACTTGGCATTTGCAATATCCTACCGTCCATGTTGGGAATTCTGGCTCAGCCTTTCCAATTTCTGGAAAGGAATTTAGGATCCAAGCAACGAAGTTTGAGTTGCTTGTCTGCACTTCGTTTTTCCCCTTGTTCAGCCGCACTTTTACATTGATGACAGTGATGTTTATTTTCTTTGCCGTTTTGAGTGCGCGAGGCTGAAACAGCCATGATGTTTCTGAACTTTGTTGCCGCCTTAGAGAATGCAAAAACAAACAGTCAAAATAAAGGGAACAATGGGGATTTTTTAATCGATTGTTGGTAATGGGGATAAATAGGCGGATGCAGTGGGTTAAAAAAACAACAATACGATATTTGGGGGTGTCCGAAATTGGGGTATGCGCCCCCAAATGGCCACTTACTGTACGGGCGAATGATGATAATCCATTGGATTTAGGCGTACACACGCATATCAATATTGGCAGGAATTGAATAGTTTGCGACCACGTTTACATGTGGAACCGAAGGATGCTGATTACTCTTTCGGAACATGTGTTTGTGAAAATTTGGCGACTATTGGATGCTGGATGCTGTGGTTTCAATTTGTGAGTGTTTCTTTCTGGAAAGGCAACCATAATTATTGGTTGGATGATTTCTGCAGATGTGGGTTTGCCGGAACCAATTCCAGCGGATCATCATCCGTTTTTCCATTCTCTGAAGATACTGTAGTCAATGTAATCCCCAAATTCCAGCTGATTATCATCATTTTTCCATCTTTCCAGCTGATTATTCATAATTTTTCCACATTTTCTCGTGAAGGGTGAAAAAAACGAGAGGATTCCCTTGGTTGTACCAAGATTCTGGGCCTGGCTGTGGCCAGTGCCAGCAATGTGGGAGAGATGGCTGAGATGGGGGCGAACCCCATCAGGACAGGACATCAGTCAGGATTTGGAAGGATTTTTGGCAGTGATCGCAACCCTGGTTGATTGGTAAAGATTTAAGATCATATATATATATATATATACATATTGTAAACTACCTGGCTTATTGGCGATCATTTTCAGTATTTAAAGGAAGGATCGAGGGGTTTGAACACAGTTCCATTTGGATCAATATAGGGGTGTCTGAAGATGGGGATACTGTATCCAGCAGTTTTATGTCCTATTTTCAGACAAAAAACATGACAGATCCATATTTTTGCGTTCAGCTTGCCCAGTTTCAACATTTGCAAACTTTCCAGTCGCAGCAGGAAAGTCGTCACCATGATGCGAAAGATGCTGCTTGGCAGGGACTTGGTGGGATGAACACGCATCCAGGTGAGTCTGCGCCTTTGGGTGCGATACTTTTTGAATCTTGAGTGTTTCTAATCTGAGGTCAGAGAAAATTGAAGAAGAAGGTGAGGCAGAGAAAGATCTTTACGTCGCTTGGTTGCCGTTGACGTGACACTTTCCAATCAAACAACCCAGGTATGTTGGCAGAGGGGCAGGTAGATTCGAAGCCGGACCCTGTGTGAAAAACATCACGGCACACAACCCTCCTGGGCCGAGGAGAAATTTCTGTGCCACTGCAAATCGGAGCTGGCGGACTTCAATAAGGCCACGGACGGGGCAACTGGTCTTTTGGACAGAAACTTTGCAACAAAAAAACCACGGAAATCTCGGCATGGAAAGCCATCGCCAGGGCAAAGCGTCCTTTGAAGCTGTGGGGAGTCTCAGATCGGCAGGTGAGGGATGAGGTCTTGGACCATGGTGGCACTTGGAATGGGAAATGGATGGTTTAAGTCCAAAAATTCTTCCGGATCAAAACCTACAAATACGATTTTTAGGTTGCGATTTGATGCTTCACCTTTTTCTTGACCCGCCCTTTTTTTTGGATCTCAAATTTTGCTGGATCTCAACCAGCGGCTTTGAGGCCGTCCCGAAGCTTGAATCCGACATCTCATCAGTCGCCTGGCCGAATCAAAGAAGATATACATTGAATTACATTGATATAGTTGATATATATATATATATGGATAGATATGGTAACACCCCAAACAAATAAAAATTACAAAATCCACTATTTCATTTTTTGTTCGCATTTTTTTGTGGATTGATAGAAACCTTGTGAACATGGTGATGACGAACAACATGCAGATACTTGGCCGATGGACACTGTGAAATCAACAACTGAATAGTAGGATTCAAACTAGAACAAATGGGCTACAGGCTAAACATGTTTTGTGTTTTTGTAGCATTGGCATTGAAATGACCAACTCCTTGCCATGGGTGTTAGCCCATAGTTGTATCATACAACTTGTGCCCACCTTCAAAGAGCAAGACAATGCAGTTGTCTCCGTCCAAAGATTCTTAAGGTTGCATGCAGCAAGTGTCTATTTGTGGTTCTAGGTTGTCATCAGATGAGAGAACTAGGCTTCGAATAGCACTACGACTGGCTGAAACTAGCCTTGTGAGCTCCTCACTCCGCTACATGACGGTCAGTGAAATGGGGTGTGGCCCAACTTTATCAGCAAACTTTCCCAACCATTCTAGTAGAAACTACAATCCATCATATATACTCAATATACTTAGCTGATTTTCTCATTGAATCCTTGATTATTCCCATTCCTATTGTCGACCGCATGCCTTCCCTTAAGCTGCGCTGGAACTAAGACCGAAGCACAGATTTCCCAGCTTCAGCAGGAGATCGAGGTGAGATGTCGAGATGCTGGGGTCGTTTCAGCCGTTTGAATGCTGGAAAGTGGAATATGATATTATAACAACATATAGATAACATATATTTAGCTATGATATTATAATCATACTATAGAATAAGTGTTATAACATATAAGTATCATCTACTTCCTTAGCTGAAATCCTTTCGGTGGATCCGGCGGTTCCATGCAGCTTGCGAGGTGAAGAAGGCTGATGAGGTTGCCACAAAGGATTCCATGCAGCGTGCCACCGTGGAGAGAGAGAAGGTGCGGAGATTTGATGCACCCAGAATTGGGTACCCTCTGGTAAACTAACATAGCTATTGAAAATTGCCATTTATAGTTGATTTTCTCATTCAAAATGGTGATTGTCCATAGTAAACTGTTAGTTTACCAGAGGGTACCATTGTGGATCTGAAAAACCGCTGGTCAGTTGGGTAAAGTGGGGCGCCCCGAAACCGCTCAAGGAGCACGAGGTTTACGTGGACGATGTGTCGGAGCTCAAGGTACTGAGCTGGTTCTGCCCTGGAATTTGTTCGTTGGAACATTTATTTCCTTTTTTTTAAACATATATATATATACATTATATATATATAGATGGGAAATAGTATGAAATAATGTTTTCTTACATTTCTTTCAGATATAAACATGAGGTTTTTCTGTCATTCTTCTCTTGCTTTCTGCGATTGAACCTGGAGCCAAAGTTGCCAAGCTTTTGTCCAAATACAGCAACAGAAAATGGTCGACCAAAACCGGGCAAATGATGGTTTCTATTGGTTGTGATCCATCGTTTTGATGTGAATGATGCAGATTTGTTTTGTTTTGTTTCTCACAGCGAGCCTCTTTGATCATAGGAAATTCCATGTTGATCCTGTGGAGGCTGACATCGGCGTGATCTCTGAAGCCATCCCTGCATTGGAGCAGGTGTGGGCTGATATCAACCCCCAAGAATGGATCATATCCAATCTCCAATCAAGAAACATAAGTATCATGTGAGTCAATTCAGAAGTGGAGGATTGGATTGATTGGATGCAAAAAAAATCACCAGCCATTTGTGGGCCCTTGGTACACCAAAGACTTGACCCTAGCTCCAAGTGCAGCCCTGGAGCCCTGGCCAGCGCAGGCTGGTGCCTTTGTCCAGACAGGCAGCCAGTCTGGGCTGGGCCTGTCTCAGAAGCAGGTGCCGGGGGCGAGATGTTGATCTGGGGGTTTCCTGATTGGTTTCCCGAAAACAAGAATCACCAGCAAGCTGGATGATGACTTGGGATTTTGAGACTCCCTTACAAACAAAGAGAAAACCTAACAAAAGGTAACAGAACATGACAGAAAATCACAGAACGATGATCCATGGACAGGTGGAGCGCTTGCAGCAGGTGATGTCCAAGAGCAAGAGCGCCACGGGGCCCAGGGGTCGGATGTTACGGGACCCTTGGAGGACACTTTTTATTGGAAATCTTGCTATTTGAACAGTAACAATTTGATTTTGTGGTAGAAGCTTGGGATTTAGAGACCTCGAAGGATTACGCTGTCAGCCTGTTGTCTCAGAGTTGGAAGTATGAGTACTTAGTCAGATGGCGTCCGGAAGTGGTTCATGAAATTTCTCTGATGGGCAAGGCGTGATGATCTCTCAAATAATGCATGCTATATTCACTCTATTCCAGTTGTATTCGTATCCAATGATAGCTGGAGTTGTATTTGTAGCGAATGATAGCTGGAATAACATATCACATTACACCTGCAGCTTTCCTCATTGAAACAATTTATAGCGCAGGTTTATTCCATTTTGACTGGGCAAAATCCTCTTTACGAGATACATCTAATGTGGTAAACTGCATAATAAACCATCCGCAAAATTACAATTTTTATAAGTGCTATAAACCATCCCCAAAAACCATCCCCAAATGGTTGGTTTATGGCATTTGGTATACTACATCTACCAATATCTACCATATGTCCTACTTAACTTGCTGAGGCCACTGAGAGCCAGCGCCAAAGCATGGCCTCCTTCCTTGCCGGGAAGTCTGAGGCGATGCCCAATCCCCTACTGTTTTATGATGAACACTGCGATTTATGTTGAGGTATCCCCATTAGTAAAAACATGTAAAAACAATTTTTGGGTGATGCTAAAGTCAATTAGATTCTATTAGATAATGACAATTTTTGGGTGATGCTAAAGTCAATTAGATAATCAAAGGATAATAAAAGGTGGTTTTGCACCTGCCCAATTGCGTAATATTGGGATTGGGATGATCTGGGAATCCTGGCCTCTACAGGAGTGCCTTGTGCATGAAGGCAACAAAATCGACCCTGCTGAGATGTTTTGGATCTGGGTCTGTTTTAGAATTCAATATGGGCACGCCAAAGGCCCACGTTATTTTTTTTCCACATGAACCAGGATCATTTTCCCCATGGATTCAACGGGTGAGGTTTGGGGCTTCCCATCCTCCATGGTTGCGACCGGATCCTTCCTGTGCAGGGTATCGGTGAGGTGAAGGGGATGCTGGAAGTGAGCCTTGGTTTTGACATAAAACCACCTAATATCAAACACCCCCTAAATGGTCCCAACAATCTGCAATTTCCATAGTAAACCAGGGTTTTCTAAGGGGTGTTTATACAAGAGGGAATATCACGGCGGAGCGGATCATCACGGGACAATGATGGGATATTGACTATCATTGACATAATCAATGGGGATCATGGGATAATTATTCATGACCAATATTGATGGTATATTATCGAGGAATTGATTAATGTGGATATTGAAGCAACAGTACTGGGGATACTGCCCAGCCACAAGTGGTAGAATTAAGAGTCAATGACAATGGGTTTGCAAAAAATTGAACGACAATCAGACATGGCCTTATAGATCAGGTTTGGAATTTGTCTTTGATCTAGATTGGGATGGGTCATTTTCTGACAGTTTCCCAGAAAAGCACAGATGAATTGGTCACTTTGAGCAGTCATTTTTCTTGGATACCCAATGACTTTAGCCATAGCCATGTGGGAAATATATTAGCTCATTTCCACAGGCTGTGTGGCCTTGACGTTTGTCCACTTTAGATGAACAGATCATGGGTACTGTATTCGTCAAGGCAAAAGGATGATCTGCAGAAGGAGGTGGTTGTTGATGACCAGGAGGAGAAGAAGGAGTTGAACATCTTTGAGGCGGCAAAACATGTAGATGACAACTCCGGGGGTTTAGGTGTTGCTATGTTGCTATGGGTTTGAAAATTGTTGATCTCCCCAAACATATATGGATGATTTCATACTGAAACTGTGACCAACATTTGTAGGTCCATGGTTCCCTCAAAGTTGAGCTATCGTCCAGGTCTACCTCAGGTAGTAGGAACTCAGGGCAAACAGGGCACGAGCCAATGATCCACTGGACATGATTTGTGGCCCCACAGGAACTGATGAACGCAAAGACTGAGGAGAAAGAGACGATCGAGGAGAAGCTGATTTTGGAATGATGGTTCACATTCAAGGATGATGTGCATGAAAAACAGCCTTGGCTGAAGCTCCCAAGATACAAAAGTTCATAAAATTAAGGCAGCGATAGGCAGCGAAGTGTCAGGAGACACTGGCCGAGAAGATTGATCGCCTTGGAGCGCTGAAGGTTGGCCAGTTGTGTTAACAAAAATGGACTCTTTAAGAATAGCATATATCATATATATATATATCATATATATATATCATATATATATATATATCATATATAATATATATACATATATATATATGTAATATATATATATATCATATATATATATATATTATATATATGTATTAAAATGACTTATTCAAAGGTTGGAGGCTTCGATCCTTGGATCTTTGGAGCTTTTTGAGCTCCAAGCAAACTTTAGAGTCTCTTCGGTAAACTTTAGAGCTACTTGGGGGATATTTTAGCACAAAAAATGGATCTGTACTCCCTGTCGCTTTTCGGGATAGGTCCAAAACCCTTCAATTTTCCAGCTGCAAATGCAGATGAACATCATATCCAGTTGGGAAATGGATAATAACTGGAGTATATATATATATATAAATTATATGTGTGCCACAATGTGACTACAATCGGGGTATGCCATAATTTACAATATTTATTACATGATATTACATGAATATATCGGATATCCTTTATACACATAGATATCAATGCTATATGTATACAGTTCAACACCAGTACCACTTTCCGACAGGTCTCCCTGGTCGAGAAGAAGGGTGAGTTGAAGGACGCGCAGAACGCCCTGTCCAAGGACTTTGATGTGCTGTGCCGGCCTCGGACCGTGCTGACGGGCTGCTGGGGAAACAACCTAATCCCGCCTGGTTGATCATGATAATTTTCAGTGGTATCCAGAATATTCTTGGACAAACTCAGATGGTAGAAAGTTGAACATCACGGTAGATCCCCAAAAAATCAGTCCGGAAGCTGGGCACTGGATGGGCACTGGAGACTGGATGGGGGTACTCTAAGGCAAAAGCTCTCGGAGACCTGTGAGGCAAAGACCAAAGAGTGGAACGTCCGCGAGAAGAGCCGCGGCGAGGCAAACCAGCTACCATCATGGACCTGATTGTAGAGCTGAAACACAAAAAATGACCATATTGAATGCTTAATCACTTACTCCCCGAAGGTACCTATCAAATCCTGTAAATATCATATGCTGTTTGATCCCACCAGTACCATCCCGCTGAAGATTTTGGATCTGTTCTCCCATCCCTGGCGTCCCTGGGGTCCCTGCACGATTCGGGACAGGAGTTGATCGCGATTGGAGAGACCGTGAAGATCCTGAACAGCGTTCGGGGGCCCCAAGGTATCAAGGGCTGGAACTTCGGGGGTTCGAACGGTTCAACCAACATTTTTATTGGGAGGTCATGACCAGGTCATGAAGGCTTACATGGCTTTGATTGCCGAAATAGCAATACTTAGCAATGTTGCAAATGATGATAACCATGGAGTCTTGGGGCTGGGGGTGTTGATTTGGGTTTCAGTCCATGGTTTTGGTGTGTGCTTCAATAGTCTAAGGTTTGTCCACTGAAGTCATGCTGCCCACATAGACGCCCTGCTCAAGATCGCAGGTGTAAAATCCCGTTCAATTTGTGACGTCATTGTTGGGTATATGTGATATACCCGATTTACCAGCCATTGACCAGCCGCATTTTCCGAAGAATTCACCAACCATTCAACCACTGAGCATCCCTAAGGATGAGAACTTGGGTCTCTTCAAGAAAGCTTTGCCCAGCCCCAGCCTGTTGCAGCTGGGAGGAGCCTCCAGGTGGACCTTGCAGCCAGTGAACCGTTTGGGAATTCCACCGTTAGTTGAACACAATCAGCCCTAGATGATTTACCTCTTCCAACCAGAATTTTCCATGGCATGTCAACATGTTCAGTGCCTTTTTTTCTGCGCCTCTTCCTATTAGCCACTGGTTAAACATCTCCCAGAAGCCAGGCGTAAAGCGCTGCGGGTCTTGAAGAGCTACGCAGCCTCCATGGGATCTAAGGTGCGTTGCGATGTCCCAGGATACTGGATATCAATGGGGGATAGCAATGGGGATATACTGGGAATATACCAACCATGATGAGAAGATCATGGGGATATGGGATGAAATGGGGGTATCATTTATCATCAATATTTGGGCTTAAAAATGGGGGATATCCCAAATGATGGCAATTTCGTGGGGAAAATTGAGGTCATTCTTAATTTTCAAGACAAACCCGGATAAGGGGACAATTGAAAGCCGAAGGCCTTATATTTCCCGGGAAGTTTAGACCATGGTTTCCGGCGGTGTCGATTTTAAACCCAAGGAAGATGGGCCGGTGTCCTAAAATGGTGGTACCTGGTACCTGGTACCTCTAAATTATCGGTTCCTCATTCAAAATGACCACTAACTTAGATGTTGGGGTCCAGACGTATCCAGTTAGTTCTACAGTGAGTGATACGCCCATTTTTCCGATTCAGATGGGGTTCATAAAGGCCAATCCCTGGGATTCTAGTGGTTCCACGAGTGGCAGCACGTTTGGATGCTGTAGGTCGTTGGCAATCGCACCGGTGTGGACCTGGTGGTACCGACCTTGATACCGGCCGTGGCAGGGCGGTCATGCCATGGCAGTGAGTTTTTTATGTCTAGCCGTTGGGGAGAACTTCATTTAAGACTTGTACCGAGTGGATCTAGTAGAATTCTGTAACTCAAAAGCATTTTGGTTCCTCGTGCAAGATGTTGAATCGCGATTCCACGTGGCGTGTCCGCAAAGGAAATGCCACCCACAACTTTGATCGTTTGGTTGTTACATATTCTAATACATCTTTTCAGTAGTGTTCGTACAGCAATAGTAAACCACCCCCAACTTTACAAATTTTATGGGTGCTTTAAATCATCAAAAAACTGGGTGGTTTATGAATGCTTCACGAACATTGATTTACCACATCATCCCATAACTTCTCATTATATCACCATAATCTTCTCATATTTTCCAACGATTCGATGGTATATGTCTTGTGATATTCCCCGTTGGTGCAGATAGGTGGCCCCGTCTTTAGCGCCTCGCCGCTTTGCACCAAGATGTTGGCCCTGTCTAACAAGGGCATCGACTTCTCTTCGGTGCTTTGGACGAAAAAATCGTTTGGTGAAGGGTTTACGGAGTTGAACTGAGCTACTCAAAATACCATGAGGGGATTAGTTAAGCAGAGGGGATTATATACATTTGGGAGGATCCCAACTTTTTATCATATGTTTCAGGGGAGTTGAAGATAAGCCAATCGATTTGTGAAGGGTTTAGCAGGTTTGACACACCAAACATATCAATGGGGAATTCAACCAGCCTTTGAAAGGGTACTCTTCAATCGGGGATTCGACTCACCATCAATGAGGGATTTTTGAGTAACGAAATGCGCAAGTTCCGCTTGGGATGGGATGTGATGCGCGAGTCGTGGTGAGGTGATGAGCATGATTGACAACATGACCGTGCTGATGGAGCAGGACATTCCCTGCGCCTACCGAAAGTAGCCCCAACTCCCATGGTTTATCATTATTGTCCCTATCAAAATAGCCATTTGCGGGGTATACACCATTTCCAGACCTCATTTCTTTGTAGAGGTCATGCTGATGACTTGCAATCCAAATCTACCCGGTAATCAAACATGGCTGGCTGAACATCCCCTAGTAACTGGCGGTTTCTAGCTGGGAATATCATGGGACTAAATTGACTCAATGTGAGGTGTTCCAGCAAGCCATGTTTGTCTAGCGGAGGGCAAGTGGTACGCCACCCTCCGGTGTCGCCGTTCTTGTTACGTCCCGTCGCTCCGTCACCACTGGTTCCGAAGGAGCAGAAGAACGATGACGAGAAGAAGGACTACTGCAACAAGCAGAGCTTTGAGACTAAGCGAAAGACCAAGGTCTGGTCTGTTACAGTGCAAAGTTTTCAGTGGGATTATGACACAAAATATGTATATCCTGTATATCTGTATATATATATATAAATATTTGCGTGATATGTAGCTTAGATTATTCTGTATCTATAGAATTCTATAGATATCTATATGATATATATATATATGATATCACAGAAACTGGCGATGTTTCCTTTTGTTGAACATCCATCCTGATCGTCAGCTGTGATGCCAGTCATCCCGGTGGGATCATCATTTTTTTAGCTGTTGATGATTTTTTTTACCCATATAGATGATTATAACAAACAGCTAAAAATGATTATAATGGGTATTATTATAATGATTATAATTAGCATGATTATCTATATTTACAAATCATTATGTCATTCCATTATAGATATTTTTTTCCATCCCGTTATGAAATATTATTTGATAGTCATTATAATTATACTATAGTCATATAATATTGTCATACAATCCCAGTATAAATATGGCCATTATAATCATTATAAATATTAAATGGGATCAAAAATGGGATGGAAATCAATAAATATATACAGTATATCATCCCATTATCATTTTTGATTGTAATCAATATTATCCATCCCATTTGTAATCCATTTATCCAATCTGTTATCATCCCATTATTATTATCCATATATATATATATATATCCATAATTACCAATCATTATTATCCGTTATAATATCCATATAATCCATGTAATCATTAAATATCCATTATCCAATTTGTTTGACCATCTGTCAGGTATCTGATGGCCATCACGCCAGGCTCTACGCCACAAGATCCAGTCGTTGGAGCAAGCAGTGATCCTGCAAGAGGAGGCGAAGTGGCGAAGCGCAAGAGATTGGATGATATAAAGAGGTAGTGATTCTATAAATAATTCTATGTATATATATATGTATGTATATATATATATATAGAGTTATATGTATATATAGTATAGCTGGGTATCTACTAATAACTTACGGTAGATACAGAGTCGGAACGGTGCAACTCCACCAACTTTTTTCGCCTGCGGGGTCCTCGGAATGGAGCTGTCCTTGAACATGGGGATTTAACCATCATAACCATCGGGGTTCATCAACCCCTAATTGTACCCGAAAGGAGTGGTATAAATCATCAAAATGAGAGGTGATTTTTGGGTCTACCACACTAGAAAAACCATGGGGCTGTTATCTATCAAATGCGAATGAACTACTTCCCGTAAAGGTAAGATCTACAATCATTGATTATCATTAAGAATTTATTCGTGGTGAGGGTTTGTCTGAAAATTGCGAGATTTACCATGGTCATGATTCGTGGCAATTTTGATGGGAACAACAATCATGAACCATGGATCGCAGCTTGATCGAAATGTCAAGGGTAGGAAATCCATTCCACTGGGGGAACCTTCATTGTTCAACTGCAGGATGTTTTGCGATGGGTAGAAGGTGAAGTGAACAGTGAACCAAACCTTATCTGACTAGACAGCTTCTTTGTTGCTGGCCCAAAATCTAGGACATCTGAATTTTAATTCCTGATTTTCAGACGGTCCAACTTCCAAAATCGGAGGTTTGCCAATGGGTCGATCCGTTATGGGAGTTGGGAACCAGAAGCGTCAGGCCATTGTGGCCACGCAGAGCGAGATCGAGGAACTGCAAAAGGGCGTTGCAGAGCAGGGTGGCACTGGTTGGTTTTGGCAGAAGGACCTTGGTTTTGGCATTTTTTCACGGCAGAACTTGGACATAGCCTTTATTCACTAATTGTGACCACCAGAACTATCATCTTAGTACGGTTGCCGGAGGCAATGTCGAACATATCACCATCAATAGGGATAATGAGGGTACAGAATCAACCTCTTATTTATCGTACTTTTCTAAAACGAGATATTATGGCTATATTTCAATATATTTCATGGAACATGGAGGATACCTCCACTTTATTGCCTTCAAATGATTGGTTTACCATATATAGTTTCAGACAAAGGCAGATGGTGAGGTTCTTGAGCAAGAAATGAGTTGTCACAAACGGGGACCCGAACTGCTCAGATTGATGATTTTCCAACCGCAGAGAACGACCAACCAACTTATTTGTGGATTTTGAGAAACACTATGCGAATCCACATCTTTTCCATATCTTATTGGTTTTCCATATCTTTTCATATCAGAAACACTATTCCAATCCAACCAACTCATAGCCAAGGATTTTTTTGGTTTTCCATATCTTTCCATTTCGTCCCAAGAAATGAGGTTGGACAAGTCCGTGGCAGAATCCACGGAGATGCGCAAGAAGGAACACGAGGACGTTGCATTCGAAAAAAGAGTTTTCTTGGTGGTTCACCCCATTTCCGATTCCTGGTTAGTCAGGGGGGTTATAAGCCAGTTGTAACAAGGATAACCCACGAATCGGGGACTTGTTCACCAGGTTTCCTAACCATTAAATGGGATGATCCTTCCAAGAAGGGGGTTGGAATGCTTTGGGGGGATGGAATCTGCCATCCTTGGACACCAGCTGTGAAGGATTCCATGTTTTCATGGCAAATCCAGTGGATTTCCTTCCAAAAGTCAGGGCCTAGAGGTGGAGGTGGAAGTGTTAAGAAGTTGTTGATATCCCCGTGATATCCCAATGCTTCTGACGTGTGCTGTAGCAAAAAATCACGGCCAGGAGTTCCAGAAGGTGTCACAAGAGCAGTCTGCGACCAAGGTGGGGAACTCGCCAGGGTAGTGGAAGACCTCCACAGCTGGTGCACCTGTATCATTAGAACAGAATATCGTGGTCATGCAGTGTCACATTCTATCATATGTAGCATAATGTAAGGTATCATATAGTATCATAGGTCAAATCGCCCATAGTGTTACATATACGTAGTATCATATATATATATATAGTATCACATATAGCATCACATAGAGTATCATACACTATCATTGACATATGGTGGTTTCTTAAAATGCGGAATTGCCAGGTCAGCATGGGTTTCAATACTACAAGGGTCTAATGAATTGGATGATTTGGGGGTACCCGCATGACTTAGGAAACCTCCTAATACTAAGATGCAGTATCATTTAATGATAGTGTATAATGATAGTGTATTGTATCATTTGATGTGACAATATATATATATGTATATATGAGCCCGGTCCCCGGACCCCCACACCTCCCCCCCAATGGTATCCCCCCCCACTCCTAACCCCCCCCCCCCCCAAAACCTAGTATTTGCATGTTATTTGCACATATACATACACATATACACATATATACTCCCCTTTCCACCCCTCCACCCTCGCATCTCTACGTTATTTGCAGCACTTGAGAGCCACGACCTCGTCAACGGACCTTGTCTACCTGTATATTTCTATCATAACCTTTTTTTCGAACCGCCTATAGCGTGCCTCGCACATGGTCTACAACATATTTGCTACCTATGGATTACGCAAAGCTTACCTATGCAAACCTAGACATATGTACAGTAGAAAAACACTATATATATATATGCACATTCTAGATACTACATATTGATATCTTGATCTTGTATCTATAACATATTTCGTTTACATTGTACATACTGTAGACTATATATATATTATATATATATGTATATATATATGTACATATATATATGCATATATATATACATGTATATATATGCATATATATATATACATACATACATACATACATACATAAACTCTAGATATACAGCGTGTATTGCTGTCGATATTCAATATACCACATATACTATGTAAAAATTATTCAACGAACATATTTACCTATATTGTATATATTACATCTACTGTGGATACAGTACATGTGGCATATACTATCTATATTCTATCAAAATCCCCATGGATATATATATATATATGTTCAATATATATATATATATGTCAAACATATATTATAACTATATATACATATATATTGCATATATTCTATTTATATCTTACATATTATATATATGTTTATATATATATATATACACCACACATACACTCTATATTACATATAGTATATCCATTCTAATTATCGATACATATGCACTATATGCACTATAAAGACTACATACACCATGGTTTCTATGTATACTCACCAGCAACAATCGGCTTGGCTGCTGAGAAAACCCCCCCTCCCCTGCCACAGGGCGGGGGGGGGAACCATCTGGCTGGGGGGGGGGGGGGGGGGGGGTGGGGGTCCCTGCTCACATAATGTGTATACTATATATATATATATCTGTATATATATATACACATAATGTGTATACATACATACATAACATAACATAACATAACATAACATAACATAACTGCATGCATGCATGCATGCATGCATGCATGCATGCATACATACATACATACATACATACATTTAAGGGCTGCCGCCCCTGCCGCCGACCCCGGGCCGATTTTTTTCTAGCTGATATTTCAGAGCGAGCCGCGTTGGCGTCTCTCGGTTCCAAGCCTCAGAGTCACATAGTCCAAGTTGCAGTTAAGTCAAAAGACATTCAAAGGATTTGAAAGAGATGGAACATGACGGAGCATGATGGAAAATATGCAAACTTGAGAACGACACACAGCTGCACAGTCCATAAGTCTAGCGTTGCGGAAAAGCTATGGTGCTGCAGTGTTTGGTACACCTGAGGGCGAGACCGCAGGAGTGGGACCGATGTTTTTTTGGTTGTGGAAGTGGGTGGGTATTCAGTGGTCGATCATTGAAGTGGGTTTGGCGTCCGTGGCTTGTTGGCATAATCTTCTCATGACTGGGTCGTGCTGTGAGGCAAGTGGCGTCAAGAAGGGCCAGGAAACAGAGGAGATGTCACAAGATTGGGCTGACACATATGGAAGTTGGTATACGGATCAAAGGGGAAGGAATTGTAAATCTATTTGATGATCAAAGGAAGTTGGGAAGCAATACTCCCAGTTACGGATTCGAAGAAATTGACCTTGATGAAGGGTGGGACATCACATAACAATATGAGTCAGTAGATATTGTCGGTTCAAAATGGATGGAGGCAGTTTCAGTATACTGGATCATTCTGGAACGTTATAACCTTTGAGAGGACGCAAAAGACGATCTAAGGGCCCTGGTCATAGAGGCCGGTCGATGGCAAGGAATTGGGAACTAGTTGGAGCTGTTCCAACGTTATGTGCAACCGGATCAGGAATGGTAGAGATTTCGCAGTCGATCATGATAGCCATGTCAGCCATGGGCCCCAGGGAGAATGGGGGTACGAGAGTTCTAGAACACGCTGTTGATATGCAGGTGAGGAGGTTGAAGAATTGGAAAGAAAGAGGTCCTAATCATGTGTGGACCCCGGGCCTATTTTTGCTAGCTGAGATTTCAGAGTGAGTGGGTTTCGAAGCTGGACTTGTTGCAGACATTCGCAGATTTGCAGTACTTGCCCTTCGCTGCGTTTTCGTCTCTCGGTGCGAAGCTGTGGAGTCATGGCAAAACGTGGCTTTCTTGATGAACTGTGGATGAAGGAGAGAGTTGAGAGTCGAGAGTTTTATGGATAAGCCACAGGCTTGGAACATGACGGAACAGGATGGAAAATATGCAAACGTGACAATGACACACAGCCGTACAGTCCATAAGTCTAGCGTTGCGGAAAAGCTATGGTGCTGCAGCGTTTGGTACACCTGAGGGCGAGACCGCAGGAGTGGGACCGATGTTTTTTTTTGGTTGTGGAAGTGGGTGGGTATTCATTGGTCGATCATTGAAGTGGGTTTGGCGTCCGTGGCTTGTTGGCATAATCTTCTCATGACTGGGTCGTGCTGTGAGGCAAGTGGCGTCAAGAAGGGCCAGGAAACAGAGGAGATGTCACAAGATTGGGCTGACACATATGGAAGTTGGTATACGGATCAAAGGGGAAGGAATTGTAAATCTATTTGATGATCAAAGGAAGTTGGGAAGCAATACTCCCAGTTACGGATTCGAAGAAATTGACCTTGATGAAGGGTGGGACATCACATAACAATACCAGTAGTACCGCACAAGGCGGTGGCGGAAGTTTCAAAAATAGGAAACCTATAGGAGAAATTGGTTGTTGTGAATCAGGGATGGCAGAGCGAAGCCACTGATGGACTGAAAGGTGCTTGATCTCTCTCAATCGTGCGCGCGCGGGCGGGCGAGCGACCGCCAAGACCGACCCAGCGATGGGCGAGGGAGCGAGCGAGCGAAGCGAGGCGAGCTATCTATCGATCTATCATCTGATCTATGATCTATCTAAATCGATCTATCGTAGGCGATCGATGCGAGATAGCGAGCGATCTATAGATCAGCTATCTATTATGATCGATCTATACTATCTATCATCTATTCTATCTATCTATCTATCTATCTATCTATCTCTCCATCTATCGATCTATTGTTGTTGTAGTTGTAGTTGTTGTGGTTGGTGTTGTTGTTGTTGTTGTTGTTGTTGTTGCTGTTGTCGTCGAAGTTAGGGTAGTTAAGTTAGTGAAGTTAGTTAAGTTAGTCAAGTTAGTTAAGTTAATCAGTGTCTACTTTTTCGACATCTTCACGTCAAAAAAAGGCTCAAAACCCTCAGTTTTTTACACTTTTGACTTCGAAATGTGCTTCGCGCCACAACGGCGTGCACTTTTTTGACACTTTTTCGACATCTGAACCTCCAAAAGTGGTCCGAGACCGCCAGTTTTTAACACTTTTGACTTGGAAATGTGCTTCGCGCCACAACGGCGTGCACTTTTTCGACATCGCAACTTCCAAAAGTCGTCCGACACTGAGGTGTTTTGTACATTTTGACTTCAAAATGTGCTTCGCCGCCACAACGGCGTGCACTTTT